CGGTAATAGGCGAGTAATCACCCCGCAATGCGCAACGCGCGGTGACGTCACGAGCGGAGCCGAAGAGAGCCGAGCGGAGCCGAAGATAGCCGAGCCCCGTAACCTGGCAACTACGCAATGCTAATCAACAGCGGTGACGTCACGCTAGCAACAGCGTCCTATGCTACCCGCCACGTCACACTAGCAACAGCGCAAGGCTATATAAGCGGACCCACAGCAGTGTGATCATCAGTTGAAACATAGCAGCCTGCGAGTGTGCGATAACTAAGAAGTCAGCGAGCGGAAGACTTGTTGTGTGCTTTCCAGACATAGTGATTGCTGTAGTACGGTTATACTCAGAGTGTGTATTTCAGGGAGACTTGTATAGCTCCCACGTTATTAGTACGTGAAGATAAGTGAAGACTGTGTTAAGAGATTTTGTTGTAGGGTTTGTAAAGTGTGGAAACCCGTGATATTGTGATCATTAATTATAGCCGTTATTTGTAGATTGTTCAATAAACCAGTTAACGATCTCTACGGCGTATTCTGTAACGTAAACACGTTACAATATATTACAATTATAACTGCCAACTTCCAAATACCATCACATATACAACTTTTAACTGTACTTTTGACTATGTAACTGGTTATTTTAAGACTTTAACTTTTGTTGTAATTTATGTTTTATATTCACTTTTATCATTTGATACCACTGTATACACTTGGAAGTTTAGCACTGTATCCTATATTTGACATGCAATTCAATAACAAAAAGTTTAATGTATTTGCCTAATGATGGCCTTTGAAGGCCGAAACATGTAGCAAAAGTATCTCCTAGAGCTACTTACACGTATTATTGATTGTTGTGTTGTGATGGTTTTCAGTAAGAAATAATAAAAGATGTATATTTGTTGGACGAGAACTATTCTCGAATGATATAGAATTATTGCAGTTGTAAGGACTTTTGATAAGGAAGGGTTCAATTCCTTTACCTACAGAATTTCTCAACACCAAATAACACCGTATTACTTCAAATATAAGTCACCCTCGAATTCAAGACAAATCCAGTTTTTGAATGTGGGTTTTAGGGAAAAAGTTAGAAAGGTGCACATTCCTCAAATTTAGGACACACTTCAAATTTCCAAAGGGAAAAAAATTGTAAAATGTACATCTTATATTTGAACTAATACAGTATTTATTTCAGTGAATTTCTCACTATAAGCCACATTTATTGCACCAAATAGATTATTTAATTTTATGAAAGACAGGATTTCAGCAGGCAGACAAATGAAAGAAAAAGCTGAATTTTAGTTATTTCCTGTATTAAAATCCAGAACATAGCACAGCAAAGAACAGATTTCAAGAGAGTACAGTATCAACTTTAGCAGCACCTCCAGGCTTCAGAATATATGGCCCACTTGCTAAAGGAGGCTATTAAGATCAGACTTTTAACAGGGACAGGTGTTTCTATTTCTGTTGGTCCTGATATCCAGTGACTAATGCACAGTGAAACCCCACTCTGGAGACAAGAACTAGTCAAGCAGAACTCACGACAATTTCCACTAGACCCCAGGTGGTTCACGCTCAGTTCTGATTATGAATTATGTGTTGGTGGTATACAGATGGGATGGTTTGGGTCCAGTGAAGATTTCATTAACTTCGGCTGTCATCAAACCTTCAGAGCTTACATGAAAATACTTGTTCATCTGAAAGGAAAATTTCTAACGACACTTTTGTTCTGAATCTGATGGAGTGTATGGAAATCATCACTGTGCAGTCTGAAAAAGCCTAATGAATGGCAATATCACAGAATCTAACAGGAACCTCCAGATGTGTTAGCATATAACCAACTTGCTGTATAGTATACCTTGTTAATGAAGCTGGATTTTCCAACGTTTGGGAATCCACAAATGATGATAGTTCTGGTATATGGGTCAATGGATGGAAGTCGAGCCAGATGCTGACGTACTTCCTCCAGGTATTGCAAATTCTGGCTCTGCCGTTTCATTATAGTGGCCATCCTGAAGAAAGCCAAATTTCATATAAAGGTGGGGAATAAAAAATACTGTACCTTGGTACCAACATACTTCATAACATAAAGTTAGTTTTACATCTTCAGAGTTGGAAATTCATTAATAACCTAAAGTACTTCCATCTCTACAATGGACTGTAAATACTCTTTTCTTTGTGCTGCTTTCTGTGCAGGGCCCACATACATCAATTTAGCTAAAACAGTTCTTCCTCATTTTTTCACTCACATATTTCTTACATTTTTAAACAAAGTATCTGTATATGTCACACATTTCCTCAAAAATATTCACATGAAAGAGAGTAATGCAAACCACAAAAGGGAAGTAAGAAATGCAAGATCCAGTTTCTAAGAGCATTTCTGAAAATGTTTGGTTGAAAAAGTTTTGTGCCAGGTCATGGATACTTCAGTAATGAAATAAAATTAATTTTAGAAAAATACTTCAAGAGCACTCAGTGATCTTTAGCCTAAAAGTATGTTCAGTAAGACTGCAACAATGGCCTTCATGAAGTTATACAAATCACTCATTTTACTGTGGATATATTTTAACAACATGATAGTCATACAAGTGAATATTTAGTGACAGAAAATCTTGGTGATGACTGCAGATTAAAGCAGCAGCATATTTACTTACTCATGGAGCTGAGCCCTTCTGGAGGAGCTGCCAATTCTGCAGCTACTCAAGAATTTCCCAGCATTTTATGGAACCCGAAGGTTCATTACCGTGTTCACAAGAGCTCTTCACTGGTCCCTATCCTGAGCCAGATCTATCCAATCCATACCATCCCATCCTATCCCTCTAAGATCCATTCTAATATTGTCCACCCACCTACACCTTGGTCTTCACAGTGGTCTCTTTCCTTCTGGCTTTCCCACCAATATCCTATATGCATTCGTCTCCCCCATTCATGCTACATGACCTGCCCACCTCATCCTCCTTGACTTGATCATTCTAAGTATACTTGGAGAAGAGTACAAGTTATGAAGCTCCTCAAGAAGCAGCATAACCTGACTAAATATTAACACTAACCGGCCCAAAGCTGCTCTCTTCAGCTGCTTACAACGGTATAGAGAATCTCCAAACTTCAAAAGGCGAACATAATCCTTTGCTACGCTGAAAAGGAATGCATTTAACAAATTAAATTTACTATAGAACTTATAAATATCTATAAAATGGAACTTTTTCATTTGACACATTATCTGCTGTTATAATGTGCTCTTACAACATTCATGCTTCATTATAATACATGCTGCTACACTAATATAGTTAAGGGTACAGTTGTCCCTGTGTTTAACTAATTAAGCACTATGCCATGAAAACATATGGGAGAGTGGATGTATAGATCCACATATTCTTGACCTCGGCACTAGCTCCAAGTGAGTGGTCAGCTTCACGCCCTGGCTGCTTTAGCCCCTGTGAAAGAGCCCCCAGTACCCACTGGATATGAGGCTGAGTGGGCTCCAGAACCAGTCTGAATAACATGGAGAGAAGAAAAGATATCTTACCTTACCATGATTCAAACTGCAACTATGTTCCATATCCTATGGTGTCTACCTGTATCTGGATTTATGGAATGTAAATAAATTGAACAATTGAACCTCTCAGATGTCCAGCCTGTAGCTATTTGCTACACTGACTGCGCTATTCCAGCTTCCACATACAAATGGACCATGGATGAATCAGAGCCCCACTTTGTGTGGAACAGTTTTCTGGTTTCACTTGTGTGAAAGAGAAGGCTGAAGTGGAATGCTGTGTTGGCCATTGTAATGGTCTTCTTTCATTTATTTAATCAAAATTATAGAATAATTTCTAGCCCCAAAACTGACTCTAAGTGCTCACAAAGGTCATAAACTTTGATCTTCTGGCCTTTTGTGTGCAAGAATTTCCAACTTTCTCCTACCCTTACAAAGCCAGTCAAGGAAAACAAAGTTTTTAAGCTCACACTGGAAGAAGAAATCTGTCCATGATCGATCCTTCCTTGCACCTTTCTATGTCCTGTCTTTCTACCACCTTCAGTAATTACCAGAACCAAACAGTAATGAGATTCAAAGAGTCCATCCATAAAATTCCATATTCACAATCCTGCTGGGAATACTGTCATATCCAAAGCTGTTTAGAAATACACAAAATGGATTTGTCCTACTGATTTGTGTTTCACTTCTGGAACAAGGAGACTCGAGAGGTCCCATGAACAATCACACTAACTCTTGTCTCTTAGAGTCAGAAGTGCAGAGTACTTTTGGGTCATCTTTATTGGTGTGAAGTTCATATCTTTAACAGAGTGGCTGAGGTGGCCACTTTATTACTAAAGATGTCTCACAACTGACAGAGAATTGTATAAACCACAAAAGCCCAAACACTACATACTGACTGCAAGACATTTATGTACACTGACTGTATGTAATTATATTTCAGATTTTAATTTGTGAACAATACATACAGCAAATGCCATATAACATGCATACTCTCGACAGATACCAATTTCAAATTATAATTTGACACTACATATTTTAAGCAAAGTACAGTTCAGTTCAAAACTTAAACAATTTACTGATACATCCCTTCCAGTGATTATGGTCATACAACAAAGAGGGGTTGGGGGCTTCAGAACCTCTTCTCCACGAACATACATATAAAAGGCAGATTACGGATATAACTTGAGAATAAGAGGTGCAACAGATTTTATTTAAGAACATGAACTGTCTGACTATTCACTAACATATTTTTATGTAATATACTGAGTAAAAGTAGCCAAGAAACAGCAGACACCACGCTCACACTTTGGCCTTAAGAAGGGTCTTTTGTAGCTTTCACCAACTGCCAGCCATCAAATAACAATAATATTTTGTAACCTCCTACTGGAAACTCTGTACATTTTTCATTTTCCTGTACCACAGGGTGCTGTTCAATTCACAACAACATGGTAATATCATGTATGCCATCACAAAAAAATATGATTCCAAAAGTTTATGTGTAACTTTCATGCAAAACCGGCTACTGCTTGGGTGACTTTAAGCACACAGCATGAAAGGTCGGCAATGGTTCGAAAAATTTCAGCAAGAAAAATATTGGCATAAGAGAAAAGTACATGATATAGTACCATAATCCATGCTTATCCAGAAGTACTTACTTGTCCACCAGATGCCTAGCTGTGTTCAACTGACCCAAAGCCAGCTTATAATGATCTTTATCATATAGAACGTTCATCAAGTCTGCATAAAATGGATGTACATCCTACAAAACAAAAGGAATTCAAATTACAACATTCGCATAACCTAACATCAGATTACTGCTGCGGTAACGTTTCAAATAAATATTCCAACGTACATCTAACTTTGGGAATTCCTGTATAATCCGAGAAAGCCTGTCGTGGAAGTTCTGCTGAGTGTACTTCACTTTGCGCATGTAAAATTGGCGAATGCGAGATATCTTATAATGTTTGTGGATTACTGTCGGTGTTTTACGCTGTGTTTTTGATAGAATAATATCAATGAAGTCCTGAAAACAAATACAAATATGTGCATAACTTAATGAAATAACTAAAGATCATAGCTCATAAATATATACAAATACCATTACACGTGGAATCGTGTCATTAATATTACCTTTGACGGTGGGACCACAGCTATTTTCTTAAAATTATACATGGCCATTTCTGCTGGTTTCACGAATTTTCTACAGATCTATATTACACACAAATCATCACTACACACACGTTCCACCTTTCCTACACACGTGCATATGCACCAACGAAATAAACGACGAACACGTTCAACATTCCTTGACGTTCCTTGACTACGCCATGGAATACTAACTACCACGGATAACTAATTCCTACGGATCCGTGCAGCAACTGTCCACGAATTAATTTGCTGTTGCTGTTGAGAAAAATTAATATTATCTATACCGATCTATACTGCCAGTCTTACATTTCATGGCAATAGCATTAGCATGGCATTAGCTGAATTGCCTTCAAATTCTCTACTATTCCACGGGATTATTGCCTGTCGCCCTGTGTTGTAAAGAACAAAACGTTATTGCGTCGATTATAAATTTGATTTGTTTCATTCTGGTCCGTCACACTAACAATTACAAATATAAATCACTCCGTCCAATGTGACCTGTAAGTTTATTACTACATAAAACTTAACACCCTTACATGTTTCGGTCTCTGCGGACCATCTTCAGAGGGCAAACATCACTACAAATAGGAAACCACCATCACATAAGTTGTTTAAGCGTAAAGTACGTACACTTAATGCTACAATGCATAATACATAAAATAGAACATTTCACAAACACAGAAGTTTCCTGGGAATGTAAAGTTTTTAAAAAATTATTTAAAATTTCTTGATGCTGATTAAAAATTTGCATTGTCAATAATTAAAATTCATAAACCATGCAGGATCGTGTTCGTCCTCCCATCGTCGCTCTTCTATGGGGCAGATATTGTGCCACCTGTCTATCTTGATGTGGAGGTTCTTTATACATTCCAGGGTTTGCTCGTGGCTGCTGTGCTGCTTTCACTGTGAAATTAGCATCAAGAAATTTTAAATATTTTTTTAAAAACTTTACATTTCCAGGAAACTGCTGTGTTTGTGAAATGTTCTATTTTGTGTACTATGCATTGTAGCATTAAGTGTACGTACTTTACGTCTAAACAACTTATGTGATGGTGGTTTCCTATTTGTAGTGATGTTTGCCCTCTGAAGATGGTCCGCAGAGACTTAGCATCAAGAAATTTTAAATAATTTTTTTAAAAACTTTACATTTCCAGGAAACTGCTGTGTTTGTGAAATGTTCTATTTTGTGTACTATGCATTGTAGCATTAAGTGTACGTACTTTACGTCTAAACAACTTATGTGATGGTGGTTTCCTATTTGTAGTGATGTTTGCCCTCTGAAGATGGTCCGCAGAGACCGAAACATGAAAGGGTGTTAAGTTTTATGTAGTAATAAACTTACAGGTCACATTGGAAGGAGTGATTTATATTTGTTGTCGATTATAAAGATCTAATCACTGTCATTGACTTTAGGTTGATATACCGTGGTGTCAGAGAGAAAATTCAGATTGAGAAACATACAATGAAAGCCAATCCAATTATATGCCCAAATAACTATTAAAAAATATCCCCTACTTCTATTATTTTACTCTTCTCTTAAATTCTAATACGTTTCCTGTACCCCCATAACATTCTGTCTCTTCATGATTAATTCTGAAGCTACAACTAGTGAGGACAGATTGGTGTGAGAAAATTTGTTTGGGTCCTTGAAAATATCATACCTACTCACACATTCAGTCAGGTTCACAGTGAACTGACACTGAGTTAGACCCAGTTTTGAACATCATCGTTGCCAGTGAGACAGAAAGATAGATAGACATCTGTACCCCATCAGCTCTAGAAGAAGGGTATGGGTTGGTCAGAGTGAAACATAATACATTTGGAAGCCAAGACATTCACATCACATACACAGCCATACTATAAATAACTGTATAATAATTTTGCTGTATGTTTGAAGATAGCAAGTACATAGAAGTTTACACACTGCAGACACATAACTTCAGTTACCCAACAGGATTTCTCATCAGACTGACTACAGTACAGGGGGATACTTACATTCAGTTAATAAACAAGAAAGTGGCAGAGTAAGATCTGTAGAATCACAAAGATAGAAATTGGCATTTCATGGATGAAAACTTAAAAATTGTGGGAAGACAAATTTAGTTGGAGGTGTGGGAACATCAAAGTCAAAGTCATGTTACAACTGACGGTCAGTCAGTCTGTCTGTCTTTGTGTCAAGCCCCAAATGGGGATCATAACCAGATGTTTTCTTCTTTGTGAAAGTTGCTGTCCTGTCCATTTGGGACACCCTCTCTGACGAGAGGTCGGGTCTGTCATTTGTCAGTCAGTCTGTATTAATAAGTCCACTGTCTGTATTTACATAATTTACAAATCCACACTTATACCTTCATGTACAATATATACAAGGCCTCTGTCAATCCAGGCATTGTACAGAAGATTATGCCCTATTTATAATAGTAATGACTATCACGGCATCCTAGTAACTTGAACGATCATATGCCTGACCGCTGCTAAGTTTAAGCCTCTTATACTTTCTGTGGCTGCCTTCGCCTTGTCCAATGTTGCGGACATTCTCATTATCATGATTTTGTATGACTTCTGCTTGTTGCCTGCTGTAAACGTACTCATCTTTCACGAATATATCTTATTTGTTTGTACGAAACGATTAAGTTTAGCTGTTAAAATAAGATGCTCCGGAGGGATCAATGTCCTCTGAACTGGCCATTTATTACTAGGGGCTAAAGGGAGGTAGTGAGTCCATTGCACTGCGGGGGGGGGGGGAGGTATCCCTTCTTTCGTCCTTGCCTACGGTGGTGTAGGACCTGTTGATGGAAGCTTCGAGAAGGGGTCCTTGCGCTTGGTCATGTAGCCCCCCTCAGTAGAAAATTCGAGATCACTCTAAGAAAGTGGTTTCTAAAAGCAGCGGCTGTGATAATTGTGTAGTGACTGAGTAGAAGTCAGTCTGTGAGGGAGTTCAAGGGAGTGAGTGAGTAGAAGTGAGTCAGTGAGGGAGTTCAAGTGAGTAAGGAGTAAAGTCAGTGGAAAGCAGTCGAGTAGTCAGTCAGTAAAGAGTCAATCGGGAGGTCAGTGAGTCGAGTGAGTAAAAGATCAGTTAAGAGGACGGTGAATAAGTGTGAACTCCGGGAGCATTATCAAAGAGATTGCGAACTGTTAATGAACGCTGATTTATGTAAGTGGATTTCAAAGAAATATTACGCAATCTAGCGAGGAAGAGAAGTTTCTACATAGGATAAATAAAGTTAATTAATCAGAAACTTACGAAACCGAGTGAGATATTTCATTTCCTAAGAACCTGTGCCTAAGTCTTAACCTATCCAGCCTGCATCCAACACCCGTGTACCCCTGAGATACAAGACTCATGACCCTGAACTTAGCCGAGGCACTATACCGCGAGGAAGGCAGTGTGTGGGGCGGGTGTACTGCATAATTATTTTATGTAATCATATACGTATGGAATTTTGAATGCCATGTGCAATTCGCGGACCGGTGTGCGCCTTGGAAAATTGCCAATGGTGCGGAGAACCTAGTTTTGCAGGCGTTGCAATTGAACTAGAGGGGTGTCTGCCACAAACTCCTAGGCGGGACAATCATAAGTCGTTACGGATCTAATAAGAGCTTTATGGGTGGTCAGTTTAATGTTACAGCTCAATCGCTCACTTTTAAATAGGTAATATATTCTAATGAAAGTTCTGAAGGCCTTGGCTTCAATAATTTCTATGTGCAATCACCATGTCACTCTCTTATCAAAGATTTCAAATAGATATTTTGCACTATTTACAAATGGAATATTATTTCCATTTAGAGTAAGACAAGACTCAGGCGGGCGACGACCACGAGAGAAGTAGACCCCCCGAGTCTTATCTTCATTAATTTTTATATTCCAGCGCTCACGCCAGGTCTCCATTTAGCTGAGACCGCGCTGGAATTTTCTAATAATAAAACCCTCCTTGCGATCTGTCGCATATAGACAGGTGTCGTCCGCAAAGAGGGCCAGGTGAACACCATAAGTTTGGGGGGCCATCATTTATGTACAAGTTGAAAAGAGTAGGGGAAAGGACAGAACCTTGTGGCACCCCTGCTTGCATTTCCCTAGGCGTTGACATTTCGCCTTCACCCGAGACCCTGAATTTACGTTTAGAAAGAAAGGACCCAATAAGCTTGGTCTAAGAGTTAGAGAATCCTAATTTTGATAACTTATACAGCAAGCCTGAGTGCCACGTGGTATCAAAGGCTTTTTCGATGTCCAAGAACACTGCAGCCGTAGACATTTTATTGTTGAAATTAAGGGTCACGTGGTCCGCCAGCCTCATACATTGCAATGTCGTGCTGTGACGTGCACGGAAACCAAACTGACTTGCGTGGAGCAGGCCTCTTTCTTCAATATGTTTACGGAGGAATTTCAAGATTACCTTTCCGAAGAGTTTCCTGTCGTGGACAGGAGGCTGATCAGACGTAAATTTTGAGGAAATTTCGGGTGTGTACCGGGTTTAGGTAAAGTTATTATTTTTGCTTCATTCCAAGTATTTGGAAAATGAGAAAGCCGAAAACAATGATTGAATGAATGAGTTAGGTGAACCAATGGTATTACGAGTACGACGCTCCGGCCGGAACTATGATTGAAAAGCCTCGGTGTTCTGGCAACACTGCCTTGGAAGACGCTTGGCAGTCCTGTATACGCGGCCGAACCTATTACCTCCGCGGAAGGGGGAGGGCAGCAAGGGATGCGAGTAGTGATAGCCAGACAAGTTGTTGGTTGTTGGTAACAGGGAACTGGAGAGAGAGGCCGCGGACGCTCCTCTGGCAGCGGGACGTCGCGATACAAGGAACCGCAGGAACAGCCAGCAGGGAGCTGAAGGCGCCCCAGTGGGCCCTATATTGAATAACCGGGGGGGGGGGGGGTTCGAACTTGGGCTAATGAACCGTAAGTAACGGAATTCGGGCTTACCCAGCGATTTGACCCTACTCAGGTTGGGGGAGCCTCATACCTCGCCAAATTAAGTTCCAAAAACAAAATTTAAACAAAGGATACGACGGAACGAAAGAGTTTGTCCCCATCGGTGTGTACTGATGTAGTGAGGACCCTCCAAGCTGTCCATAGTATTTTCTTTATTGCACACCAGAAATAAATACTATTGTATTATGTGATCACTGAGACGGCCCATTAGGATCCTATCGTCGGACTGCT